ACCTTGCCCAGGGTCACCATGAGTTGAGGGCAGTGGGCTTGTTTTGGGGGGTGTCAAGACCTGCAGAATTACTGAGCTCTGAATAAAACCTGCGAGATGAGGACCCTGTATTCCCTTTCAAAGGTCGGTGGAAAGGAAGGATGTTTCCAGCTGGGAAGGACAGCATCTTCAAGGTCCAGGCATGACCGAGGCCACAGTGAAGCTGTGTGTGTGTGTGTGTGTGTGTGTGTGTGTGTGTGTGTGTGTGTAAGTGCACCAGGAGGGGCCTGGAGTCGAGTGTGAGGTACAAAGGAAAGAAGGAGGTGGTGGGCGATATGAACCGGGGCAGATAAGGAAGGGCCTTTGAAGCATCGATAACGATGGGGCATTCTTCTGAGGGCTGGTGGGGAGGGGTGCCTAGGAAGGGTAAATCATAGGCCTGACAAGCTAAATGCTGAGCTCTAGTAATTCATAGGAGAGAGTCCATGTACAGCCCTTGAGTCAAAAAGATGCCTGTGGAAAGGCTGAATAGGAAAGAGGCTAGTCCTGCGCTAGGCAGGTTCAGGGGCCGGTGCTTCAGCCCTGCCTATCGGTTGGAATCGACTCGATGGCAGTGAGATTGGCTTTGGAGCAAGCAACAACCCCGCCGGGGCTCAGGGAAGCACTGGGACTTGTCTGAGGTCCAGGGCTGGCACTGCCAGTGACCAGCCGTGGGGGTCCTGAGTAAACTTACTCACCTCACTCATCCTTGCATAATGAAAATACTCACCAGAGAAGATGGTGGTGACGATGAAATGCAATTGCCCAATCGTATGCTTAGTGCAAAGCATGCACAGTGCAGCTGTTAACCGAAAGGTCAGCAGCTGGATCCACTAGCAGCGCCACGGAAGAAAAGACCTGGTGATTTGCTTTTATAGATTGCAGCCTAGGAAGCCCTACCGGGTCAGGGCTACTCTGCCCTGGAGGGTCATTCTGAGTTAGAGTTGATTTGACAACACACAAACAACAGCCACGTGCTTAGACAGATCGGTCTTTGGCAGGTGGTAAGTCATATCGATTAGATTTTCAACTCACAACAGATATCACAAATCAATTCTGCAGTGCCACTGTCCCAACCAGTGATGGGGTGGGGGTCAGGGTGAGGAGGGGAGTAATTAACCAGATGCCTTCAAACCTCTGAACATCTCCAGCTCCAAATGCACTGGGCCTCTTAGTAAGGCCTTGAACTCATTATACAGCCTGATGATATGCCATTGTTACGGACTGCATGATCTCCCTTCTCCACAAGGCTCACCCCTCCACCCCCCTTTTAAATCTGTGTCTTCAATCCTAACCTCTATGCTCAGTGACTATAATCCCATTGGGGAATGTGTCATCTCTGTTATGTTAATGAGGCCCGGCTAGATCCTGTGGATTGTGTCAATCTCTCTTAAGATCCTAAACAAAACAAGAAAAACCTCATCACTATCCAGTCCATTGGGACTCAGAGTGACCCTCTAGGACAGGGCAGAACTGCCCCCTGTGAATTTCCCAGATGAGAACTCTTTACAGGAGTAGAAAGCCCAGTCCTTCTCTGGAGAAGAGACTAGTGCAGGGGTCCTCAAACTTTTTAAACAGGGGCCAGTTCACTGTCCCTCAGACCGTTGGAGGGCTGGACTATAGTTTAAAAAAAAACTGTGAACAAATTCCTATGCACACTGGATGAGTCAGCTGCTAAGCAGGACAGACAGCGGCAGCAAAAACACCCAGTGGGCCGGATAAATGTCCTCGGTGGGCCGCATGTGGTCCGCAGGCCGTAGTTTGAGGACCCCTGGACTAGTGGTTTCAAACTGCTGACCTTGCGGTTATCAACCAACATGTAATGACTATGCCACCAGGGTTCCCATCTTCTAAATGAGATTAAACAAGTGAGCAGAGGCAGAGATGGGGAAAAGAGATGCCAAACTACATGAAGCTTGCCCAGGAGCAGAAGCCCAAACCTAACATACTCAGCCCCCTGGAGTCCATTCCCTGGTGGGATAGGAGGTTACACATT